AAAACCAAATTCCTGTACCAAGTGATATTGAAAATTCTAAGTATGTCAGTAAGGATGATAAGGAGGCTAATAATTTGGTGAGAAGTCAAGAGATAGAAAGTTGCGAGAAAGCACCTAAGCATTTGATCAACCCTTCTTCACTTCATAATAATGAAGAGATGCAACAAAATGCCAAGATTGTCATTAACCCATGTTTTTGATGTTGTGAAGGAAAAACATACTTTTGCAAATACTTCAGCATTCCTACAGCAAAATTGTGTAGAAAATCTTCAAGTTCTTCTTAAAAATGGACATGATGATCAATCCAAGGACTCGGGAGGCTTCATAAAATTATGTTCTGTTGTTAGTGAGGTGATGTGGAGAACTCTTTATGGAATGAAATGTTCTCCTATTTGTACGATTGAAATATTGTGCCATGATCAAGGAGTGAAGCAAATGGTGAGGAAAGTCTTTAAGCATAAATGGAAAGAGAAACACTAAGATGAGTTGGTGAGGACGGTTTCGTCCGAGGAACATACTGATGTGCTTCAACAAATTCCACCATTCCTCGACAATTGTCAACAAGAGATTCAACCGTTGAAAAAGGAGAACATTGTGCTAAAAAAAGGAAATGCAACAATTGGTGTTGCAACATTCATTCCAGCAACAACAACACCACAACCTACTCCATTGGAATAGGGCAAGTTTTATCATGACTCTTTATCTCCAAAATTTCTTCTTTATTTTCATTTATTTTGAGTTTGGGAAGAGTCTTTTTTATTTTAGGATTTTACTTTTGGCAAGTCAAGTAAGTTGTTTATATTATCTTAAATGTGTTCATAGCCTGAATAATTTACTAATTTTTTACCATCCTTTAACCTACCTTGTTTTTTTTGTTTTTTGCTAGAACTAGCCACTCTATTTTTTGGGACACAGTTTGGTCTAAATTTGGTATAAAATTCTAGGAAACGATATAGGTCATTTATTATTTTCATCATAGTCATTAGACACCCTTGCTCTTAATAATTCATCCAAAAACAAGACGTTGCTTCAAATGAGTTTGGGGGAGGGATATCTAAAAAGGCCAAAAGATCAACACAAAAAGAGCAAAGCTTTGAAGAGATTAAGAGATGTCTTGTTTTGGATTTATCAAAAGCACTAAAAATGTCCTATAGGGACAAAGTGTATGCTGTCAACAAAAGAGCAAAAATGCCAAAAAGCAATATGGGCCAAGTATGGAAGTCTGCAGACTTATCTTTAGAGATTTGAAAAGAAGAATTCAGAGTTCGGGTAAAAAAAATACTTCAGAGTTATTTCAAGAGTACAAGTCTAAAGAGTTATACTTCAGAGTTACAAGTCTGAAGAGTCATTCTTCAGAGTTACAACTCTGAATACAAATACCCAATATCTTGAAAAATACTTCATGGTTAAAACTTGCAACATACAGAGCAAGACCAACCAGAGCTTATCTGGTCTTACCAACAAGAGCAAGGCTAACCAAAAACAAAGTCAAATAGAAGCAAGGGCTAACCATAAGCCCAGGCCAACTAGAAGCAACCAGAGGCCCTCTGGCCAACCAGAGCCTCTGGTCGTCTATCTAGAGCCTCAGGGCCAAGAAATGTTAAAGATTTAAAGAATTTGAGTTCCAATAACAACCAGTCTCTGGTTAAACATGAAGATCAATCAGAGCCCTTTTGGTTCCTTTATCATGGATCAAAATATTTTTTTTCAAGGTTCAAATGAACAACCATAAGTAAAACCAATCTAGAGCCCAAGCCAATCAGAGCTCCTCTTGTTATAAAACAATTCATTTCATCACATAAATAGGATGCGACAACCCAAGTCCTTGCATCACACAGATGCGACAACTCAAAATCATTGCATTATAAGGATGCGATAACAAAACCTCATGATAAAAAAGATCATCATTTCTAAAAATAGATTATGCCACCCTTATCCCAATATACCCAGATCTTGATTATGTCACCCTTATTACAAATTTACCCAGCCCCTGACTATGTCACCCTTATTACAACACATGATATAATCATGACAAAAACCACCATTTTGCCAATAATGGCATCAAAACATTTTTATAACAGTAACTCATATAAAGAACCATACTGTTCTATATCCAATCTCACCATCATGCTCAAATAGCATCCAAAAATAATTTTATCATCATCCCCATGTAAGAACCATACGGTTCAAATTTCAAATACCAAATAAGGAAAGTTGATAATGTAAACTCACCTCATGTTCACGTGGATGAAGATGAACTAATCACAGCAATACATTCAAGTAGGAATCACATAATCAACTTCTTCTTCCCCTTACAGGCTTGTTTACTTTACTCACAAGAGAATACACACAAAAAAAACTCACTTTCTTTTTCTCCACCAAAATCAATGAGTTAAGATAATTATCTTATCAAATACTTTACTTTAAACCATAAGAGGCGGTGGAGGTTTTTAAAATAATTAATCATACTCTCCTATGAGATAAAGCAAATATCTCATATATAATAACATTTAGGCAGTGGGGATTATTTTAAACATTTAAGCACATACACAAATTAAGCTCCTCCACTAACCATCACCTTTCAAAAATCACCCCGAACTTATATATCAGAATATATGGTTATCACAAATGCAATGGTAGCTAAAAAAGTCAAAAGTACCAGGAGGTTCCAGGTTCAAATCCAAGGAGGAATAAAAATCCCCTTGTGGCCGTGGAGGTTCAAATGCAGTGACTCCGGGCTATCTGCAAAGCAGGTGGTCGCCCTAGGATTAGTCAGCTCGCATAGCGGGTTGGATATCCAGGTTAATAAAAAAAAGGTTACCCTTATCATTTAATGCTACTCACATGTTTTGACATAACTTCTTTGTGATAGTTTCTTACACAAAGTCGGCGTCAACATCTGAAGAACTATTTTAGTTCTTCGGATCTAAAAGATTACCTTCTTCCTTCACTCTTTCAGTGTTTAGCAAATTTATCATTAGTCAGATTGTTTAGTATCACAGGTCTTACCTTCTAGTTTACGTAACAAAACTATTTCTTTGTTTTTATACAAAATATAAAATTAAGAGTAAAAGTTTGTTGTATTTGTATTCAACCTCTCCTTCTAGAAATCCCTCCTATGTAGGTCATTACTTCCTAGGACCAAGAATAATTAATATTTATTTATAACTGATGGTAAAAAATAACAATTAATATTAATTAAATTTATAATTGGAAAAAGACATTGTTTCACAAACATAAACTAGCTTATTTTTTGTATACAAGTTTAGATAGATATAAGCTAAACTATTGGAAGTTGAAACGCTAGTTGGAATAACATTTTAGGAGCTTATTGATGAATTTCCAATTATAACCCTTATTAATAATATTAACTATTATTTATTACGTTTAAATATAAATAAATATTAATAAAAATCAATTATCACTAATATTAATAAAATATTAATTAATAGTAATTGAAAACC